CGCGTTCACGTTGCGGCGAGGCCCATCATAAAATTACGATTTAGCTTTACACGTAGTTTCAAGTTTAAAGTTCAATTCAGGTGTAGGTGTGTCTCTACTTTTAGACTTCCACTGAGCTCCATATTCAATATTCGGATGCTTCCGTGTCGCCTTCACACTGTGGTTCGGCCCATCTTAAAATGACGGTTTGAATTCAAGTTACAATTAGAATGATGGTTAGCTGTACCAGTTGTAGGGTGTTCTTTGAATTGAGATTTCCACTGAGCTCCACATTCAATATTCGGACGCCCCCGTGGTTGTAGTGTATTCCACTTCTGCTTCATTTCGCGTTCACGCTGTGGCTAAGCCGATCTTAAAATCAATATTCGAATTTAGATTTGAATTTACATGCAATATTGAATTTGGGTATACATTAATCCTTCAAGGTAGACGTCCACCGAGCTCCATTTTCAATGTTCGGATCCCTCGGGGTTTGGATGTGATTTTTTGTCAGACTGCGAGGAGCGCTATATGAAAACAACAAATCAAAGTCACATTCAAATATTTATGTAGATCTAAATGTAAAGTTGAATGCATTTGTAGGCGTGTCTGTACTTCCACTGATATTCTCATTTCGGATTCGGACGCCCCCCTGTGGTGATACTTGTATCCACCGCAGCTTTATCTCGCTGTCACTCTGTGGTAAGACCCATATTGCAATCAATATTCGAATTTAAAAGTTGGATTGCACTTCAAATTCAAGTTTAGGTGCAATTTCGACTTCCAACGATTCAGACCTCGACCAATTGTCTTCCACGTTATAGATGATGGTACGGAAGTACCAGGCGGAACGCCCAGCCCGCCCTTTCGACTGGCCTCGGGGTGCGACCGAGAGGAGGTACTTATGTGGATGACGCGTAGAGCAGGAGGGGGAAAGAGAAGGGAGGAGACGAAAGAGGAGACAGGAGGAGGATTCGGAGGAGAAGGAGGAGGAGAAGGGAGGAGGAGCAGGAGGAGAACGAGGAGGATAAACACAATAAGAAAGAGGAGGAGGAAGAGGAGGAGGGAGAGGATGAGGAGGAGTCGGAGGAGGAGTCAGAGGAGGAGGAGGAGGAGAGAGACAGAGCAAGGAGATGGATGAGGAGGAGGAGGAGGAGGGGGAGGAGGAGGAGGAGGGAGGAGGAGGAGGAGATGCGGAGTGGGAGGACGAGGAACAAGGAGGATGATAATGGACGAGGAAAAGAAGGAGCAGGAGGAGAAAGAGGATGGAAAAAGGAGTAGCAGCAGGAGGAGGAGGAACATGAGGAGGACGGCGAGGCAGAGGAGGAGGAGGAGGAGGAGGAGGAGGGGGAGGGAGGAGGGGAAGGAAGGAGGGGAAGGATGAGAAGAAACAGGAGAAAGAGGCGGGAAAAGAAGAGGAGACGCAAGATTAGCAGGAGGAGCAGGAGGAGGAGGAGAAGGGAGGAGGAGGAGGAGGAGGAGGAACATCATGATGTTGATGTTGATGCTCATGCTGATGATGCTGATGCTGATGATGATGGTGATGGTGATGATGATGATGATGATGATGATGATGATGATGATGCTCAGGATGAGCATGGGGATGAGGCTGACGATGAGGATGGAGATGCGGGTGCGGATGATTATGAGGATGCTGATGGTGATGTTGATGATGGTGATAATGTTGAGGATGGTGATGCTGCTGATGCTGATGCTGATGCTGATGCTGCTACTGATGCTGATGTTGATGACGTCGCTGTCGATGATGCTGATGCTGATGCTGATGATGATGCTGATACGGATGCAGATGATGATGGTTATGATGATGGTTATGATGATGATGATGATGATGATGATGATGATGACGAAGATGAAGATGTTGTTGATGATGGTGATGATGATGCTGATGCTGATGATCACGATGATGGTGGTGGTGGTGATGGTGATGCGTATGATGACGATGCTGATGATGATGATGATGATGATGATGCTGATGATGATGATGATGCTGATGATGACGATGATGATGATGATGATGCTGCTGCTGATGATGCTGATGATGATGATGCTGATGATGATGATGATGATGATGATGATGATGGTGATGATGGTGGTGGTGGTGATGATGACGATGCTGATGCTGATGCTGATGCTGATGCTGATGCTGGTGCTGGTGCTGATGCTGATGATGCTGAGGAGGAGGAGGAGGAGCAGCACCAGCATCAGCAGCAGGATGCGGGGGGACCAGGAGGAGGAGGATAAGTGGGAAGGAGAAGGGACGAGGAGCAAGACGAGAAAGAGTAGGAGAACGAGAAGGATGAGGAGGAGGAGGAGGAGGAAGAGGAAGACGGATGAGGAGGAGGAGGAGGATGAGAAGAAGAAGGAGGAGGAGGGGCATGATGAGGAACATGATGAGAAAGACCAAGAGAACGAGAAGGAGGACGAGGAGGAGGACGAGGGGCATGAGGATCAGGATGAAGAGGAAGAGCAGGGTCAGGACGAGGATGTGAGAAACACGAGGAGGATGAATAAAATAAGGAACAGCATGAGAAATAACAGGATAAGGGAGGAGAAGGAAAAACGATGAGGAGGGATGATGAGAAGGGATGAGGCGAAGGAGGAGGAGGGGACGAATATTAAGAAGGAAGAGGAGGAGGATAAGGAGCGAGAAAGAGAGAGAGGGGAGGATAAGGAAAGAGGACGAGGGAGGAGGAGCAGGACGAGGAAGAGGAGGAGAGGGAGGAGGAGGAGGAGGAGGAGGAGGAGGAGCAGGGATGATGAGGATGAGGATGAGGATGATGATGATGGTGGTGGTGGTGATGATTATGATGATGATGCTGCTGATGCTGATGATGATGCTGATGTTGATGCTGATGCTGCTGCTGCTGCTGCTGATGATGATGATGATGATGAGGATGATGATGCTGTTGATGTTGTTGATGCTGATGATGATGATGATGAGAGGAGGAGGAGGAGGAGCAGCAGCAGCAGGATGAGGGGGGATGAGGAGGAGGAGGAGGAGGAGGAGGAGGAGGATAAGGGGGAAGGAGAAGGGTAGAGGAGCAAGACGAGATAGAGTAGGAGAAAGAGGGGGTCAGGAGGAGGACGGATGAGGAGGAGGAGGAGAAGGAGGAGGAGACGGAGGAGGAGGAGGAGGAGGAGGAGGAGGGGCATGATGAGGAACATGATGAGAAAGACCAGGAGAAAGAGGAGGAGGAGGAGGACGAGGGGCATGAGGATCAGGATGAAGAGGAAGAGCAGGGTCAGGAAGAGGATGTGAGAAACAGGATGAGGATGAATAAAATGATGAACAGCATGAGAAATAACTGGATAAGGGAGGAGAAGGAAAAAAGATGAGGATGGATTATGAGAAGGGATGAGGCGAAGGAGGAGGAGGGGAAGAAGAAGAAGAAGAAGGAGGAGGAGGAGGATAAGGAGCGAGAGAGAGAGAGAGAGGGGAGGAGAAGGAAAGAGGACGAGGGAGGAGAAGGAGGAGGAGGAGGAGGAGCAGGAAGATTAGGAGGAGCAGTGTAAACTCAAGAGTCATCAACGATGTTGGAATTAACCCTCCCTCCAAGCTCCCTCTTCATAGGCCCCTACGGCGGTTCATTTCCATTGAGGGAATTGCTTCGTTGGAAGGCAACCTTTTGAAGACCCGGAATCATGCCAAAACATTGTTCTCGGGATTCCAACGCCACGGATCAACCTGATTGCTGCGCCTTGACGGTCCGGAATCGTGCCAGAACGTAATTTGGGGGATTCCAATTCAGCGAATCAACCTAACTGTTGCACCTGCATAAACCTGAATCCCTCCAAAACACCATTTCTGGTACGCTGCTCATGAGAATCCGTGAAACTCTTGCAAATGTCAAACTAGTGTGCGCGGCGCTAAGGCGAGAGCCACATTTTGAAAAGGAACCGCCCTCAATCCGTGAAACCATTCCAAATGGTTAAAGCGAACGTGCGCGGCGCTAAGGCGAGTGCCACATTTTGAAAACGACGCGCCCTCAATCCGTGAAGCTCTTGCATTTGGTTTAACGAATGTGCACCGCACTGAGGCGAGAGCCACATGTTGAAAACCGCCCGCCCTCAATCAGTGAAGCTCTTGGATTTGTTTGTGAACGAGTGTGCGCGGCGCTAAGGCGGGAGCCACATGTTGAAAACGACTCGCCCTCCATCCGTGAAACCCTTGCTAATTTTTGTAAACGAATGCGCGTGGCGCTAAGGCGGGAACCACATGTTGAAAACGACCGTGAAGTTCTTGCAAATGTCAAAACGAATGTGCGCGGCGCTAAAGCGTTAACCACATGTTAAAAATGATTTCGCCCTCAATCCGTGAAACTCTATGTACGCGGCGCTAAGGCGAGAGCCACATTTTGAAAACCATCCGCCCTCCATCTGTGAAGCTGCTGCCACTTTTGGAGCTTCAGAGTCATTAGTGGTGAGGAAGTCTTAGGCGAAACGCCCGGCCCGCCCCAACAACTGGCCTCGGGGTGCGACAGAGAGATAATTGTTTTAGAAGGAGAAGGACTGGAGGAGGACGAGGAAGAGGAGGATGAGGAGGAGGAGAAGAAGGAGGAGGGGAAGGGGGAGGGGGGGGGAGAGAAGGAGGAAACAGAGGAGGAGCAGGAGAAAGAGGAGGAGAAGGAGGAGGAGGAAGAGAAGGAGAAGGGGGGAGGAGCAGGAGGAGAAATATGAGGAGAAGGGGGAGCAGGAGGAGGAGGACCCAGAGGAGGAAGAGGAGGAGAAGAAGAAGGGAGGGGGAGAAGAGCGGAGGAGCAAGAGGAGGAAGAGGAGAAGGATGAGGAGGAGGAGGAAAACGAGGAGCTGGAGGAGGAGGAGGAGAAGGAAGAGAACTCGCTTCGCTTCGGGTCCGCGACGCCCAACAGCTTGCCTCGGGGAAAAGGAGCACTCGCATCCTTCGGTCGGCTCCCCTCCTGCCCCTCCCCTCGCGCCGCGCCCCCCGCCGCCGCACTCCCGCCCCGCATTGGCCGCCCATTGCCCCCCCCCCATGGGCCGAGGCAGACGAGCGGCGGGCGACGAGTATCGATAGAGGCCGCGCGCGGCCTCCTGCCCACCCCACTCGGGCCAGGGGAGGAGGATCCAGGGCTCCCAGACACGGCCGGAGAACCGTCAAGACGCTGAAATGAGGACCACCTGGTATTCAGGTGGGGCTCTGGTTTTCGGGCCTTAGGTCTTTGTGGACGGGATTTGCCGTGGCCAGAAATGACCGCTCGCTCATTACCCAGCGTTCCTTATTGATGGTAGCACGACGATTGTAGACTGGGACAGAGGATCGCGCCACATCGCCGATGCATCGGCGATGCCGATCGATGTGGCGCGATCCACGCCGACGGCGCAGATGCATTTGCGATGCGGCGCGATCCTCCAGACCGCTCTGCTCAAACCCCATTTCGGAGGCTTCCATGGGAGGAGGTGGATGATGAGGAGCAGAAGGCGGAGGAAATGGAGATGGAAGAGGAGGAGGAGAAGGAAGAGGGGGAGGGGGAGGGGGAGGGGGGAGGAGGAGGAAGAGGAGGAGGACCAGTGTGAACCCAAGAGTCATCAACGATGTTAGAGTACACCTTCCCTCCAAGCTCTCTCTTCATAAGCCCCTACAACGGTTCATTTCCACTGATGGCACTGCCTCGTTGGAAGACATTCGTTTGAAGACCCTGAAGCATGCCAAAACATTGTTCTCGAGATTCCAACGCCACGGATCAATCTGACTGCTGCGTCTTGACGATCCTGAATCGTGCCAGAACGCCAATCTTGGGACTTCAACACCGCGGCCCAAACTAACTGTCGCACCCGCATAATCCTGAATCCTGCCAAAGCACCATTTCTGGTACGTTGATGATAGGAACCCGTGAAACTTTTGCAAATAGTTAAATCGAATATGCGCGGCGCTAAGGCGAGAGTCACATTTTGAAAACGAACCGCCCTCAATCCGTGAAACTATTGTAAATGTTTAAAGCGAGTGTGCGCGGCGCTAAGGCGAGAGCCACATTTTGAGAACGACCCGCCCTCAATCCGTGAAACCCTTGCAAATTTTAAGGCGGGTGTGCGCGGCACTAAGGCGAAAGCCACATTTTGAAAACCGCCCGCCTTCAATCTGCGAATCTCTTGCAATTTGTTTAAACGAATGCGCGTGGCGCTAAGGCGGGAACCACATGTTGAAAACGATTCGCCCTCAATCCGCTTCTGGCAAGGTTTTACAAATCCACAATTTGAAAGCCACACGCGTTCAATCCGTGAAGCTCTTGCAGTTTTTGTTCAATGACAGGCGAGAGCCACATTTGGATAACGACCCGCCATCCATCTGTGAAGCGGTTGCCACAGTTCAAGTTTCAGAGTCATCAATGGTGAGGAAGTCTCAAGCGAAACGCCTGGCCCGTCCTAAAAAGCAGCCTCGGTGTGCGACAGGGAGAAATTATGTATAAGGAAAGGAGGAGCAGCAGGAAGAGGAGGAGGAGCATCAGCAGCAGCAGCAGCAACAGCAGCAGGAGGGAGGGGGATTCGGGAGGGAGAGAAGGAGGAGGAGGAGGAGGAGGAGGAGGAGGAGGAGGAGGAGGAGGACTACATTGCAAGATATTGCAGATTCCCCTTTTTCCCAAGCTTCCTCCTCAAAAGGCCCCTGCGAGGAATCATTTTCGCTGAAAGCAGTGCCCGTTGGAAGGCAATCTTTCGAAAGCCCTGAACTGTGCCAGAACACCGTTCCTGGTACTTCAAGGCCGCAAGACACCGTTACTATTGCGTCTCGGGGATCCTGAACCGTGCCAGAACATTTCTGCGACCTCACCACCGTGAATCCATACACGTGTGGCGCCTTGACAGTCCGACATCGTGCCAAAACACCATTTATGGGACGTTAACCATGGGAATATTCGAAATGGCTGTAAACTCTTTGAACGAAAATGCTTGGTGCTGAGTCGAGAGCCACATGTTTAAAAGGAACCGCCCTCCATCTGTGAAGCTCTTGTAAACGTTTAAGACGAATGTGCTCGACGCGAGGGCGAGAGCTACATTATGAAAACGACCCGCCCTCCACCCGTGAAACTTTTGCAAATGTTTAAGACGACTGTTTTGCAGCGCTGAGGCGAGAGCAATATTTTGAAAACGACCCGCCTTTCACCCGTGAAACTGTTACAAGTGTTGCGACGAATGTGCGCAGTTTTTACGCGAAAACCACATTGTGAAAACCACCCGCCCTCCAGCCGTCAAACGCTGTCAATTGTTTGAGACGAACGTGCGCGGCGCTGAGACAAGCCATATTTTGAACACGGCCCGCCCCCTTTCCGTGAAGCTATTACAAACTTTCCGTGAAGTTCTTGTAAATCCTAAGTTTAGGGATCATAAGTTGTGAGGAAGTTTCCGGCGAAACGCCCACCCTACCGACACGCCTCGGGGTGCGACAGGGAGGAGCTACTACAAAGAAAAATAATGGAGGAGTCGCCGATCTATCGGGGATACGTCGCCGATTCCATGTCGATATTCCGCCCCACCCCCCTGGGCCAGTCCTCCCTTAACGTTGTCCCTCAGAGGAAGACGAGGAGGAGGAGGCTCGCTTCGCTTCGACGGCAATTCAATGAGTTAGCTTTCAGGGGCGGCCAAGGGAGCATCTTGCGGAGACGTAAGTCTATTGATGTTTGGGCGATGGCTTCGACTACTATGGAAGGCATCATGACTGAGACCGTAGACGTCGGAGGAGATGCCATCCACTCCACCCTTCGCCTCGTTCTCCCTTCTCCCTTACCCTATCCCTCCATTCTGCTCGGCCCTATCCCTTTCAGTTCCCCTCAACTCACCTCCCTGTATCCTTCCTACCCTCTCCATCGTCGTCATCCAGCTTATCCTGATCCTCTCCGTCGGATTTGAGCAGTACTGATTCATTGGCTTACGCCGCACCGCCGAACCCTTGGGAACCCTGGGTGCCTCTTTGGGGGGCGTTTTCGTAGAACCGTCTTGGCGCCGCGCGCCCATCCGCGAATCCCAAGCCGTGCTCAAAAGGGTCCTTGCCTGTTGGCTCGTTTGGGGGTCCCTTGTGGTACCTCCGGGGGCCTCTCGGGGCTCCCTTGGAGGCATGTTGGGGGTTTGGTGGGCCATCTTGTGGGGAAGGGCTCCCGGGGTCTCTTCACCCCTCTTGGGCTCCTCCGGAGACCCTCTTGGACAGTCTTGGGGGGCCTTGGGCGATTCCGAGGCCATTTTGGGCCGTGTTGGGGCCTCTTGGGGCAGTCTTGGGGCGAGCTTAGGGAGCCCTCAGGTTGCTTTAGACGCCCTGACAATCGGAATGGCGGGCACGTCACATATTTACCAAGTATGCTCAATCAAGACTGCTAGCCTCTTGGCGCCCCGTTCTCCCCCTTCAGGGGTGGCGAGAGAGGAGAGTTGGCCAGGGGGGGCGGGACAAAAACTTATTCGATGTATGTGTGTATATATATATATGTACGCATACATACATTTTTGCTATCCCTTTCGTCGCCAACTCGGGCGCGGGTGCCCATTCCTGCCTAGGAACGAACGGCTTCGCCGACTCGGGGCTCATTGTCGATATGTTGGCGATGTATCTTCGATTCCAGGCCCATCTCTTCCCAACTGGGCCAGATCCCCGTTCGCCACCCCTTCACTCCTCCCCCTCATCCAATTCCCATCCCCCCCTCCTCCTTCCCCTTCCCCTTCCTTCTCTCCTCCTTCTCCTCCTCCTTCCGTTTTCTCGTTCTTTCCTCCTCCTCCTCCTCCTCCGTTGCCATTTTGGCTCAAGTGCCATCAGCGGCAGGGCACCTGGGTGGGCAGCTCTTCTTGAAGGAGCGTTCTTGGGGTCGTTCCCAAGCGGACACTTTCACTTGATTTCTGTACGGGTTTCATTCCTCTGGCACCGCCGCCATGGGAGACTCCGCAGATGTGATCTCGCAGCTGACGCAGGCAATTCAGAACACAGTCTCGGGGTTGCAAACTCAGCTCGAAGCTCGCTTCCTTACAGTCGAGACCAACGTGTGCACGCTGTCCCAGCACGTTGGCATCGCTGAGAACCACATCGCCGCATTGACCAACCAGCTCAAGGACGTGGTCAAGACGCAGCAGCAACAGGGACAGGAGCTCCAGATCCTTCGATCTACTCGTCCTGCTTCGTCGGCTGCCTCGACGGCATCTGGGACTCAGCACTCGTGGGCATCTCGACTTGTCAATGATGACGGCAACAAGCGTCGTCGCGGAGAAGATGACACAGGCGGCGACCCGACCACCAAGTTCATTGGGCACTTTCCTCGTCCTGTGCTTGAATGTGTTCGACGGCTTCAGTTTGATGGCCTGAAGGAGTAGTTCCCCGACCTCCTCGCCAACGTCGAAACGAAGTTCTACGCCATTGCTCAGAGCTACCAGATCATATTCCCGAATAAGAACGATGCCGCAGCCTTTTTCAGAGAGAGGCTAATCGTGTTGGAGTTGACTGGACCGATCCTCGAACTCAAGCTCAACATCAGCTTCGCGTGCGGGCCGACCTCTCACAACCTGTTCGTAACAAGGAGCGTGCGTTCCACAAACTGTACCTCCCTGTGCGCGAGTCCTTGCAGGCCTCGTACATGTGGTCGCCCGACTGCCAGCTCGGCATCGACGGGTTCCGCGGCGTGATGAGGGTCAAGAACGACACCGACGTCTGGAGCTTTATCGAGCTCAAGCAGGTGAACATCCGCAACGGTGAGGAGCAATGCTGTTTCGAGCCCAACTTCCTCGATCTTGAGGAGTGGGGGATCAGCAAGGAGACGATCATGGCCATTCTCGAGACTGAGGCGCCTCCGTTGCCTGAAGGGGAGGATATGCAGATCTGAAGGCCCCCCTCGCAAGCAGTTAATGTTTTCCAGCGTGCTGCGCCTGTGTACAGTCCCTCTCCCCCCTCTTCCTCCGACTCCAGCTCCGACTCCAGCTCCGACTCCAGCTCAGACAGCGCTGAAGGTGGACCTGGGCACGTGCCGCATTTGCCAGATCAGAAGTTCTCAATTGTGACGTGGAACGCGCACGCCGTGTTTGGATCTGCGTGGGGTAGTCATGACATGCAAGCTCGTACGTATAAGTGCGTGGGCGATCCTATGGGTGCGCACGACGCTCATGCATGCAGGAAACGCACGGCACGAAGGGTGATGCGTTCACGCTCGAGAGAGATTTTAAGGACCACCTCCAGTTTGACAGCTTCTGCGTTGATCAACCAGGTGCTGGAGGTGTCATCACCTGTATTCGGGAGTCGCTTAGGAACCAGTTTGACAGGGTAGCCTTCTCAGAGATTGCGAAGGGGGGAATCACGTCTCTGAGATAGTATGGGGCGCGAGCTTCACTTCATATTATCAACGTTCACTTTGTTCCAGGGCTGACACACGGTGAACTGCTTGGCCAGTTTGAGAGAGTGAAGCGCGCGATGTGGCCGGCAGCGACCACCACCTGTATTTCTTCCTGGCGACTTCAATGCCCTTGAAGCCGCGGGTGATAGGAACTCTGTTCTGGAAGATATGGAGCGGCACGCGCCGCCCAGGTTTGCGATTGAGTTTCGGCAGCGCCCCCCCTCCCTGCTCGAGATTCCCCCCGCCTCCTTCGCGCGTCGGGCGAAGACTGACGAAAATTTTTTCGCTGGCACGCTTGGGCCGCATATATATATATATATACTAATTTACCGACTGCTGATGTTATTGACTTGGCTTCTGCAAGTTCCACGGGTTGGCCCCCTACAGACCTCCTGGAGCCCTCCGACCATGCCCCTCTATATTTTAGATTTCAGCGCCCTGAACACAGACAGCGCTCATATAATAGCCCACCTTGGATTGCAAGGCACCCACGGTTTTATGCACATGTATCCCATATCCAACATCCTTCGGACCTCTCCGCCGACCCGAACGACCGACCCCAGGAAATACAGCAAGTCATGAGGCATGCTGCTGTGCAAGGTAAATTCGATGTGCACTCAGATGGTGCCGCCACCGATGACGAGCGCCTGGCATGTTCTTTGCAGTTATTGCGTGTTGCTCGCTCCCTGCCCGCTCAAACCTGCCGAGAATCGCGTCCTGCTCTTCTCCGTCATCTTTTCGGTGAAGCTAAATATGCGCTTCGTGCTTACCCTCCTCTTGCTCAGTATTTCGATGGCGCTAGCTGTGAATGGACGGACAGACCTGGGCTCTGTGCGCACGTTAGCGATCTCACCCGGCGCGCGCTTGCAACCGAGGAGCGGGGAGTTGCTGCTCGCGATCTGGCGCCGTCTAAGAAAGATCCGCATCTTGCCAGAATTCGCAGGCCATCGCGTGCATGGGCCAAGAATCGCCCGAAGATCTTCCTCGCTGCTGTCATAGACGACGACGGGTCTGAGCTCATCGAGGATGCTGCCATGGATCAAAAGCTCTCCGAATACTGGTGCAAGATTTTTTCTCGGGCCGAGGTTGACTTCACGGGCGCTTCCAGATTCCTGGACCTCATCCCACCCCTGCCTCCCGACTCCTACCAATTCACCAACTCTACCCATCAAAGGTCCCCCTGGGGCCTGACTGAAGATCAGTTTTTCGACATCCTCAAATCCAAGGTCGACGCCAGCCCGGGACCCGACGGTATACCATATAGCGCATGGCAGCGCCCGCGCCCGCTGATTAAGCAGGCCCTATGGGAGCACTACCTTGCCTTCATGAATACCCAGGAGCTGTGTGACGATTTCAACTATTCCAAGTTAGCCTTCCCCCCGAAAGGTGTTAGCGCTCCCGGCGCTGTTGCTGAAGCGCGTGGAGACACGCGGCCGTTTGCCCCCAGTAACACCGACAATAAGGTCGTCTCGACGTGTCTCGCGTATCCGCTTATGCAGGTCGCTAAAGATAAATTTCATATTGTGCAGCGTGGGCTCATTTCGGGTCGATCGCTCGCCGACGACACTATCGAATTCGACGGCCGACTGATGATGTGGCAAGCTCTAGATAATTCTCAGGCTGCTGGAGGTGCCCTCTTTGACCTGAAGATCGCTTTTTCTCGTGCTGCAACGCTGTGGAGTTTCCCCGCGTTCTTCATCAACTGCATCCGCTCCCTGTGCAAGCGTGCGTGGTGTAGTATATTTATTCGGGGCTCTGACGCCGGTGGATTCTGGGCACTACGCGGGGTCGAACAAGGGGATCCTCTTAGTGGCCTGTTATTCACATTCGCCTTTGATTCGATTATACGTTATATTGCTGAGCTTACTACTTTGCATGCAGTTTATCCGACTGCGTTTGCCGATGCTTTAGCCATTGCTGCTGACCTTGTTCGTGCCCTTCCTCATGTAGTCGAGATCTCAATGGCAGCGACGCCGTGCTCTGGGCTCGCGCTGAATTTCCCGAAGCGTGCGCTCGTGATTCCACGACCGCTTGACCCGCAATTTATCATCAGCCAATGCTTGAGTGCTGGGCTGGACGTATCGGGGTGGAAGATGGGACAGTCAGGTCTTCATCTGGGGGTGGAGGTTGGACTGCTTGCACCACAGTCTGCTTGGTCACGTGTCGGTCAAAAGATACGTGCCCGCGGAGGGGAGGTCAAAGCGATGGCCACAGGCCTCACTGCTGCCTGTTCTGCGTACAACATGTTCGCGGGCTCCGTCTGCTCGCACGTCAGCCAGTTTCATATTGTCACGCGCGAGGCCCTATCACAAGAGCGAGAAGCACAGCAGTTGCTGACCTGGGCCCCAAGGCACAGCATTCCCCCCCCCCCAAGATACTCCTGAAGGCCACCGACGTTGGTATGAAAACCGAGTGCCGCTCACTAGAGGTTATGTCGCGTGCTGCGTTAATCCGCTCTGCGGCTCACTCTGATATATTCTATGAATTGGTCGTAGTCTGGAACGCCAAGATCGAAGCTGCCGATTATTGTCTAACCTGCAAGTGGTCTCGTGCGCATTCCGACTCGATCTTTTCCCGGAAAGGGCTCAGGCCCAGGGTTCTCTTTTAGTAGGTAAACCTGTCCCCCGGTGCCAACTTGAGGGAGGCCGGCGAATTTTTTCCCTGATGAATAACGAGGTCGAAGGAGGCCGGCGAATTAAAATTTGAGGATGTCTCGAGCGAAACGCTTGTTTTTCAGAATTTCTTGAGGATGTCTCGAGCGAAACGCTGGTTTTGCAGAGTTGAGGATGTCTCGAGCGAAACGCTTGTTTTCAGAATTTGTGAGGATGTCTCGAGCGAAAACGCTGGTTTTGCAAGAGCCGACCGCGACACGGAAACACGACACGTAGAAACCGCAGGAATTCGAGGATGTCTCGCACTAATTCGTTTTGATTTTGTACGAAGTCCTGGAATTTTGGCAGGATGCTCTCGAGCGAAATGGCACGACCACGCCCCAGCACGACCACCCCCCAGCACGACCACCCCCCAAGCACGACCACACCCCAGCACGACCACACCCCAGCACGACCACACCCCAGCACGACCACACCCCAGCACGACCACACCCCAGCACGACCACACCCCAGCACGACCACACCCAGCACGACCCCACCCCAGCACGACCCCACCCAAGCACGACCCCACCCCAGCACGACCACACCCCAGCACGACCACACCCCAGCACGACCCCACCCCAGCACGACCCCACCACAGCACGACCACCCCCCAGCACGACCACACCCCAGCACGACCACACCCCAGCACGACCCCACCCCAGCAAGACCACACCCCAGCACGACCACACCCCAGCACGACCTCACCACAGCACGACCACATTCCAGCACGACCACGCCCCAGCACGACCACGCCCCAGCACGACCACGCCCCAGCACGACCACCCCCCAGCACGACCACCCCCCTAGCACGACCACCCCCCAGCACGACCACCCCCCAGCACGACCACACCCCAGCACGACCACACCCCAACACGACCATACTCCAGCACGACCACACCCCAGCACGACCACACCCAGTCGCACCCCCGTGGAATGTTTCGTGGGGTGTCTGGTTGAGTGGTTGCCTGTTCGTGGGGTGTCTCGTGGAATGTTTCACGGGGTGTCTCGTGGAATGTTTCGTGAGGTGTCTCGTGGGTTGTTTCGTGAGGTGTCTCCTGGGATGTTTCGCGGGGTGTCTCGTGGGATGTTTCGTGAGGTGTCGCCCAGTTGGATATCGTGAAAACGTGACCATGCTGCACATGTCTATATCCCTTTCCGGGTTCGTGGGTCCATCATGTTTCCATATGTATAGGACTCTCGAGGCCCACGAATCAAAGTTTGGGAGCGTAGACATATCCAACAGGAAATCCACCCAGAAGAAAGTCACCTTTGACTTGAAAAAGTACATGTTGGATTTCTCGGTCCACTCTGTGGTTTCTTCGAGGATCCTGAAGCTGCACCCAGAGGCCTCCAGAAGCGATGTTGACCTGTGTATCCTCCGTTTTTATCTTATTGGACAGAAGTTGCCGCCTTTTGTCCACACCTCGGTTCTGAAAACGGTCTGCAATGCATGGAACACCACCCGTCGGTATCGGCAAAAAGTTGGCCCTTGTGTTTTCGGTTGCCAGAACCTTGCTGCTGACAGTCTCGATCATTATGTCCGATGTCCTGCCATTGTCGAATATGTTCGCTCTCTCCTTCGGCACCTACCTGTGAGCTGGGGAACAGATTTTTCGCACGTTGCCCTCCCCCACCTCTGGCAGGCCAGCACGTCTGAAGCTCTTCTCTCACACGCCATTGTTATAGATTGCATTCATTATGCTTTCTGCTGTCTTAGGTCTTGTCGTCCTTCGTCGTCCATCGCTCGCGGCGCCATCCTCGGCCGACTGCGTGCTAGTCCACGTCGTTCACGCCAGGTGCGGGCCTTAGCCATCGGGCCGAGTGGGTAGGGACTGGGGCTCCGTCAGGGGTGCGCCTCCTCCTCCTCCTCCGTATCCTCTTCCTCCTTCTCTTCCTCGTTCGTCCACCACCTCCCTTCTTCCCCTCCCCCTCCTTTCCTCCCTCCCCTCCCTCCTTCCCCTCCCACCCCTCGGTCTGCGCAGGAACCCCAGGGCTCCGGTGACGAGGTCCGCTGCTCCGGCACGCCCAACGCGGGGCCCAAGAGCCCCTCGCGGCAGTTGGCGCGCGCCCCGCCCACCGCCCGCGGCGCCACGCCCGCGGCCCGTGGCCTCCACGCGCTTGAAGATGCCTTCGGGCCTGGAGCTGTCCTGTGGACCACGTGCTTGAAGATCGTGGGTGCCCGATGGTTTCAGAGGAGACCTCCTGAAGGTCGCACATCCCTCCCCGTGGCCTCCAAGCGCTTGACATTCCTTCTGGGCCCTGAGTTGTCCTGGAGGATCTTTGGAGATCGCGAGCGCATCGCAGTCAAGGCGCTGAATTCAGGGCCACTTCGGTTTCAGGAGGGGCTATGGTTCTCGGCTGTTTCTTTGACCTGGGCCAGGGAACCTATTCGTAGCCGAGGCTCGCCGTGGCCAGCAAATCCTCTTCGTTTTTTATTCGGCGCCACTCTTGGTAGCACGGTGATTGTTTTGTTTTGGATGATTTCCATTAAAACAGATTCATAACCTGTCTTGCTCGATTTCGGAATGGCACTCCCGCCCAGGACTTCCTCCAATACACAAGTCGGAATCTACCCAGTGCAGGATCGAGGCCCCGATTCCCCACACGCTTTTCTCCAAAGCAGGCCGCCCGCAGGGGGCGTGAGAATATTCTTCATCGTTGCACCCCCAGACGCGTCGGTGGGTTCGGAGTAAGCGTGTCTTCCAGGTTACCGCCCCGTGGACATGTGAACAATTTATGGAGTGACCGTTGGGGTTTTGGCGAAGTGTATCCCCCAGCCTACAAGTCTTGACGTTTCGCGTCCCCCCTGGGCCATGCAGAAAGTTCCCCTGGCGAGTTGCCTTGACAACGGGATTGCAGCATATTGTCGTCCAGGAGTGAACCGCATACCGATGTATGTGCTCGCAAATATTTCATGGAGGAATGGGAGACGGAAGGGGGAGGAGGTAATCATGAGGAGGAGAAGGAGGAGGAGGAGGAGCAGGAAGATGAAGATCCAGATGATGATGAGGCGGGGGAGGAGAAGAAGGAGGAAAAGGAGGAGGAGGAGGAGGAGGAGCACGACGACGAGAGAAAATTAGGGCGGGCAGACTGAAGGGGATCAAGTGGGGCCACAAGTATCAGGGGATCGCAAACATGGATCAAGGGGGCGTGGATTAGCGACGGGTCCCGTTTCCACGGGAAACCGCAGATTTCCGCCGAAGGAGGCGGCACTGGCCGAAGTTTGGGAAGGGCACCTCCCCCGATCCATGGATTTGGCGCCCGCGCGCCAAATCCATAGATCGCTAATCCATGTTTGCGTGCCCCCGAAAGTAGTCGTAGTCCCAACGGGATTGTCCAGTCGTCGTCATAGGAATCCTGCGCAAAGGTCCACTGGTGGGGTGGCCTGACTGCAGGGGGCGAGGGAGCAGGAGAGCCAGCCCCCACCACAGGAAGCGGGCCTGACTGCAGGGGGCGAGGGAGCAGGAGAGCCAGCAGTTGGATCGGCCTCGGTCCCGTGTCCAGCAGCCACCCTGAACAGTCCAGGAAAATGGTTTCTGGTTAAACCAGAAGCCGTTGTCCTGAGCTGCGGTCGTCGCTCAAGAAACTTTCTTGAGCGACGACCGCGGCCCGGAATTGGCAGAGGGCGGGGGGGGCAGGTCTTGGTATCGACAGTCTCCCAAGACCCGTGTTCGTCCATCCCTCTTAAGTCGGGCGTGTGGGCGCCCGTGCGTGCAACGACCCCGTCCAGGTTTGGCAGCCAGGAACTCACTGGCCGAGTTACGGTGGACGCAAAGGAGGGCGGTGGGCTTGAGAAGTCGCGGCCCAAACTCACACTAACAGATGCGGTGCAGTCGCACCGCTTGGTAGAGAAACCAGGTGACGTGCTCGAGGGAGGGGCCATGAGCCAGGGGGCCCCTCGATCCCAGAATCATGGGACGGATGCTCAATACTCCCTGATACCCCCAAGTCCACGCCTCCTATAGGACACAAAAGGTGGTACAAAGCAAACGGTTCCCACAGGCAAGCTGGGCACTCGCGCTGCTAGCATGGCCAAACCTCGAGAGCAGCCGTTCAGAGCGACGGGGTCGGGGGGGGGGGGTTAGTGGTACCAGGGTGCCGCAAAGCACGTGCTCTGGATCAAGGCTTCACAGGGAGAACGCTGAGCACGACTACGCTGGTGCCACTGAAAGCCCTGCTCCCGTCGAAATCCCGAGACCAGGTGGAGGGTGGATTTTACGGGTTGGTTGGAAAGGGTGCGGGGTGAGCAGGAGGGGGCGGGGAGAGAGAACAAAGGGAACTGGCGGGGGCAATTGGCTACACTCTGCGTGACATGCTCACGCGAGGTCCCCTGGCATTGCACGGGTGACCTCTCTGTAACGGAGTCAGGCTTGCCACGTGCTTTCTTGGTTGCCGCAGTAGACCGAGCTGCAGCCTTTGCTTCCTCCAGCTCATGTAGGGCAGGACCCGCGTCGGAGCGAGCCCGGGTGAACCTGCATGCGGGAGAGTTCCGAAGGTGTTGCATTAGTCGGGGGACGCTCGAGAAGTCTTCTCCTCCTCCTCCTCCTCCTTGTCCTCCTCCTCCTCCTCCTCCTCCTCCTCCTCCTCCTCCTCCCTCTCCTCCTCCTCCTCCTCCTCCTTCCTCCTCCTCTCTCTCCCTCTCCTCCTCCTCCTCCTCCCCTCCTCCTCCTCCTCTACTCTCCTACTCCTCCTCCTCCTCCTCCTCCTCCTCTCCCCTCCTCCTTCTACTCTCCTCCTCCTCCTCCTCCTCTTGCTCCTCCTCCTCCTCCTCCTCCTCCTGGCAAGCCCAACAGCTCAGAGTCTTCTCTGGCGTCTCCGCGCCAGCAGGCCCTCGCGAAGCTCGGGCTCCTGGACGACCTGGACCTCGAGGAGCGACGCCTCCGAAGCTCCTTGTTTTCGTGAAGGCGAAGGAGGGGAGGCTCGAGGGTCGCTCAGAAGGTCTCGATATACACACCGCGACGCTTGGTCGGCCAAGGAGCCAAGGAGTTCGGCGAAGGAATGCTAGACGCTTCGCGTAACCCCACCAGCCCATCCAAAAACGATGCCCAGAGGAGTTGCCTCGATCAGGGAAGTGGGCAGCACACAGAGGAAGGGTCCCCCAGTCCCCCAGTGGAGGCCTTGTAGAGCGTCTTGTGGGCATCTTGGCGGACCCATGGCCGTCTTTGAGCGTCTTGGGTGCTTCGGGGATCCTCTTGAGGCTTCTTGGGGGTCTCTTGGGAGCCTCTTGGAGGCCCCTTGGGCGCCTCTTGGGGCCGTCTGGGCGCCTCTTGGGGCCCTGTCGGGCGCTCTTGGGAGCTCCAGGGGCGTTCGTGGGGCCATCTTGGAGGACATCGGTCGGAAAAGAGGGGAGCTCCGATTCGCCCCCCCCCCTCCCCTCGGGAGCCAAGCCTTCGTGGTCCCTTCCACTCTGACACCTCGCGGCCCGCCCCGTCCAGGTGCAGGGGAGGGGGTAAGGGGTGGGGTCAAGACGCCCTCCAGATAGCAAGCCGTCTAGCTCACTCCCACCCGCCCTCCCGACCCATAAGTAACACCCGAGCCTCAGCATGTTCGGCGGTCGTCTTTTGATGGACAGCTACTGGGATAGAAAACCGAGCCTATGTGCGCGATGCTGGGAAGAGGTGCGCCACGCGTGCCAGGCGCGCAACGCGCGCCAGGCACCATTGGGGCCCGAGCGTGCCAGGCACGCCTAGTGCGCCAGATGCTCCCTCCAGCCGGTGCGCCACGCCCGGGGCACGTGCAGAGTGTGTCAGGTGCGCCTGCGCACATGACAGCACACATCGGGAAGCATGTCGGCCCCACCATCCCTGTCGAAAACAAATGCCCATCATTGTGTCTGGTGGGCCTGCGCACAGCAGACCATCCACCACCACGCCCGCCGTCCTTGACAAAAACCACTTGACAATGATCGCGGGGTGGCCGCGCACTATCCACATTTCGCCGCGAGGTGCATTTTGTATTGTGTGTTTGTCAGGGATGGTAGCCCTGGGCGCAGCAGGCGATATACTGACACCCCCGCCGTCCTTGTCGAAAAACAATACAAAGTGCCCACGGGCCTCCCGGACATGACTCTAGACTTTGCCCCAAACTGTCTTGTGCATTGTTTTCTGACAAGAATGGTGGGGGGAGGCCCGTATCGGGTTGGTTGCGCATGCTCCGAATTTGGAGGCAGAGTGCGTTGTGTATTGTTCCCGGAATGGCCTCGGGCCCAGGGTTCTTTTCCCGGAAAGGGCGCGGGCCCAGGGTTCTCTTTTAGCCGTTTACCCCCGGATCTGACGGGTCAAGCGCCGGCGAAATTATTTGCGATAAATAACGAGGTAAAGTGCTGATTTTTTTCCCGGAAAGGGCTCCGGCCCAGGGTTCTCTTTTAGTAGGTAAACCTGTCCCCCGGTGCCAACTTGAGGGAGGCCGGCGAATTTTTTCCCTGATAAATAACGAGGTCGAAGGAGGCCGGCGAATTAAAATTTGAGGATGTCTCGAGCGAAACGCTTGTTTTTCAGAATTTTTTTCTTGAGGATGTCTCGAGCGAAACGCTTGCTCCGCAGAGTTTGCCGAGGATGTCTCGAGCGAAACGCTTGTTTTCCAGAGCCGACCGCGACGCGGAAAAGCGCCCCGCGCGAAGGAATTTCGATGATGTCTCGACTAATTCGTTTGTTCCCGGAAAGGGCTCCGGCCCAGGGTTCTCTTTTAGTAGGTAAACCTGTCCCCCGGTGCCAACTTGAGGGAGGCCGGCGAATTTTTTCCCTGATAAATAACGAGGTCGAAGGAGGCCGGCGAATTAAAATTTGAGGATGTCTCGAGCGAAACGCTTGTTTTTGAAATCCCGATCGATAAATCACAGGGTGCGGGCCACTTTTTCGTGTGTTGAGGATGTCTCGAGCGAAACGCTTGCTCCGCAGAGTTTGCCGAGGATGTCTCGAGCGAAACGCTTGTTTTGCAGAGCCGACCGCGACGCGGAAAAGCGCCCCGCGCGAAGGAATTTCGATGATGTCTCGACTAATTCGTTTGTTTTTGTACGATTTCCTGGAATTTTGGCAGGATGTCTCGAGCGAAATGCACGACCCCACCCTAGCACGACCATACCCCAGCACGACCACACCCCAGCACGACCAGACCCCAGCACGACCCCACCCCAGCACGACCCCACCCCAGCACGACCATACCCCAGCACGACCACACCCCAGCACGACCCGACCCCAGCACGACCCTACCCCAGCAAGACCACACCCCAGCACGACCACACCCCAGCACGACCTCACCACAGCACGACCACACCCCAGCACGACCACGCCCCAGCACGACCACGCCCCAGCACGACCACGCCCCAGCACGACCACCCCCCAGCACGACCACCCCCCCAGCACGACCACCCCCCAGCACGACCACCCCCCAGCACGACCACACCCCAGCACGACCACTCCCCAGCACGACCACACCCCAGCACGACCACACCCCAGCACGACCACACCCAGTCGCACCCCCGTGGAATGTTTCGTGGCGTGTCTGGTTGAGTGGTTGCCTGTTCGTGGGGTGTCTCGTGGAATGTTTCACGGGGTGTCTCGAGCGAAACGCTTGCTCCGCAGAGTTTGCCGAGGATGTCTCGAGCGAAACGCTTGTTTTGCAGAGCCGACCGCGACGCGGAAAAGCGCCCCGCGCGAAGGAATTTCGATGATGTCTCGACTAATTCCTTTGTTTTTGTACGATTTCCTGGAATTTTGGCAGGATGTCTCGAGCGAAATGCACGACCCCACCCTAGCACGACCATACCCCAGCACGACCACACCCCAGCACGACCAGACCCCAGCACGACCCCACCCCAGCACGACCCCACCCCAGCACGACCATACCCCAGCACGACCACACCCCAGCACGACCCGACCCCAGCACGACCCTACCCCAGCAAGACCACACCCCAGCACGACCACACCCCAGCACGACCTCACCACAGCACGACCACACCCCAGCACGACCACGCCCCAGCACGACCACGCCCCAGCACGACCACCCCCCCAGCACGACCACCCCCCAGCACGACCACCCCCCAGCACGACCACACCCCAGCACGACCACTCCCCAGCACGACCACACCCCAGCACGACCACACCCCAGCACGACCACACCCAGTCGCACCCCCGTGGAATGTTTCGTGGCGTGTCTGGTTGAGTGGTTGCCTGTTCGTGGGGTGTCTCGTGGAATGTTTCACGGGGTGTCTCGTGGAATGTTTCGTGAGGTGTCTCGTGGAATGTTTCGTGAGGTGTCTCGTGGGATGTTTCGCGGGGTGTCTCGTGGGATGTTTCGTGAGATGTCGCCCAGTTGGGTATCGTGAAAACGTGACCATGCTGCACATGTCTTTATCCCTTTCCGGGTTCGTGGGTCCATCATGTTAGAAAAAGTGCGTTTTGTGCGTGCCCGCTCGAGGAAAGTTCGCCCCCCATCTCGGATCCTCGATAAATAACGGGGTCCGCAGACCCCCGCTTTCCCTCGTAAAAAAGAGGGTGCGGAGCGTTTTTCGCAGAATCCTCGAAAAATAACGGGGTCTGGAGCCCCGACCGCGACTCGGAAAAGCGCCCCGCGCGCAGGAATTCCGAGGATGTCTCGCGCGTGCCGCGTCCCGCGCGCAGGAATTTCGAGGATGTCTCGACTAATTCGCTTGTTTTGTCAGGATTTCTTAGAACTTTGGCAGGATGTCTCGAGCGAAACGCTTATTTTACATAGTTTGTGGAGGATGTCTCGAGCGAAACGCTGGTTTTCGCAAAATTTGGAGATGTCTCGAGCGGGGGGCCAGAATTCAGAGGATGTCTCAGGCGAAATGCTTGTTTTCGTGTCCCGCTCGCGGGAATTCCAAGGATGTCTCGCGCGGGCCGCGTCCCGCGCGCAGGAATTTCGAGGATGTCTCGACTAATTCGTTTGTTTTGTCAGGATTTCTTAGAATTTTGACCGGATGTCTCGAGCGAAACGCTTGTTTTTCATAATTTGTTGAGGATGTCTCGAGCGAAACGCTGGTTTCTGCAAACTTGGGGATGTCTCGAGCGGGGGCCTCGTGGGGGGCCAGAATTCAGAGGATGTCTCAGGCGAAATGCTTGTTTTCACGTCCCGCTCGCAGGAATTCGGAAGATGTCTCGCGCGTGCCACGTCCCGCGCGCAGGAATTTTGAGGATGTCCCGTAGCGCGTCCCCTTGGCACGGCCTACGGTGCGACCCCATGGCACGTCCCTTGGCACGTCGCCTGGCGCGTCCCTGGGGACGTTTCGCGGCGCGTCCTCCTGGCATGTCCCCCTGTCAATTAGCTCTGGGGCAGCTACTATGTGTTCAGGAAGCTCGAGCTTCAGATCCAGATCAGTTCGGTCAGGACTTGGATGCAAAGGAAGACTCGCGCGCAGGAATTCCGAGGATGTCTCGCGCGTGCCGCGTCCAGCGCGCAGGAATTTCGAGGATGTCTCGACTAATTCGCTAGGTTTTGCAGGATTTTCCGTAGGAGGGCCAAGGAGAGGCCCCGAAGGCTCTGGGAGCGGCGACGACGACGACGACGACGACGACGACGACGACGTCTCTTGGGGTTCTCTTGGACGGTTTGTAGAGTCCACGCTTACATGATCGACGGGTCGAGGACAGCGCGACGACGACGACGTCGCGGTGGCGGCGGCGTCCACCACGACGACAAAGTCTCATCTTAGAGCCTTGCGTGGGGGGGTCTCTTGGGGTTCTCTTGGAGGGTCTCTGGAGGGTCTGTAGAGCCCACGCTTACACGATCGAGGGATCGAGGACAGCGCGACGACGACGACGACGTCGCGGTGGCGGCGGCGGCGACGACGACGACGACAAAGTCTCATCTTAGAGCCTTGCGTGGGGGGGTCTCTTGGGGTTCTCTTGGAGGG